AAAATCATAATTATTTAAAATTTAAAATATATATATAAATACGCTATACAAATAAAGCTGACATCAAAAATACAGATATTGCATTGCACATAATTAAAATTATTTAAAAAAAAGCTTTAAAAGTTCCAAAAAGAACAATAACAAATGTACAGAATTTAAAAACAGAACTCAGAGAATGTGTATATAATGAAAAAATGCAATCAAGTACGTCTGTTCTGTTCAAAATATGTTTTAATGTGTGACATGAATGTTGTAATGTTCTTGATTATTTTTTTTTTTTAAGTTTCAACAAGAGCATTCCAGTCGTTAATTGCAGAGTAGATGAATGTAGAATGAGGCTGTTATTTTTTTTTAGTAGAGGTAAGACCAAATTTACTCTGTTCTGACAAGTGTTGTATGATGCATTTCAGATGTACGTGTATTTTCAGAGAGTGCAACTTTATTATTTATGATTTTGTACATTGCCAATTCTTAGTAGTTTAACCCTATCCTCAACTTTAATAAGGCCAAGGCTTGACAATTCTTTTCGACCAACGGTGGCGTAACGGGGGTAGGGGGGCAGACAGACGGATTTTACCGGGCTGACGAAGCCGTCGTACCGGGCTGACGAAGCCGTCGTACCGGGCTAAGTATGAAGAGGAAAGACAGAGAGAGAGAGGGGGTGGGGGGGGGGAGAGGGGGAAAGAGAAGGAAGGGAAAAAGAAAAGAAAAGCAAAAGGGAAAGAGAAGAGAAGAGAAAGATAAAGACAAGAATAAAAAGCAAGATATATGATTAAGACACGGTATAGCAACACCCTGCACCCCCCTGCCCCAGTTCCAAAACTATCCGTATATTTGCCACAATATCGGTTTCTTCCGCCAATACAGAAAGATTATTCCGTAAATTGAGAATCATTAAAAACTACATGCGGTCAACCATGGGAGAAGAACGCTTATCATCCTTAACCTTGCTATCAGTAAGAGACCTTTCAGAACATGCAAACTTTGACAATATAATTGATAAATTTAGTCGCATGACAGCTAGCGGAAAACGAAATGTTCCACTGTGAATGCTATAAAAAGTTTGAAGTGTTCAAAGGCTTTACAATCAAGAGACCAATTACAATAATCCAAGACAAAGAAAGTAAAACGATAATTGACGAGCCCTCGGTTTTACGTACACCTCGTACCGACGATGACGTCTTCAAAAACCCCCCAAAATATTCAAAACAAACGGCCCTTTTTAGTGCCACCAAAGTAGAAAGAGATTGTTACTTTCTGTCTGCTTATTATTTCAATACTATAGCAATAAACAAACCATATACAAAGATAACGAGTCTAATACTGGGCTGTTATATCTAAAACCACCATGTGAACTGCGCAAGATGAACAACTACCGACAGTGCTCAAAATAATTTCTTTCCTCCTTAGCTTTGTGTGGAAAACTTGTTTGATCGAATTTCCTACACGAAGTTTACTAATTGGCTGGCTCGCCCAGTGCAGTGTACGTGTTTGTTTTGTTTTTGTTTTTTCATTAGGCTTATATGGATTTATTTCAACACTTTATTATGACATTGTCCAGTGATGAATAGACACTAAACACATGGCTCTATTTGTAGACCCAGACCTACAGTACAGTTGTAGGTCTAGCCTACATCATTCGTTTATAACAAACGTTTATTCACGGTTACCTATGTATTGGGTCAAACGTCACCACAAATTTAACCCAACCTCAATTTTACGAATCCCCCGATTTACATACGCCCTGTGCTCCCGTACCGTACGTAAAATCGAGGTTCTACTTTTAGTTTCAAACACACATGTGTAGACCTAATAATTCCGTTCAGATATATCGTATTGTTTTCTATATTGTGTGGGGTGGGGAGGGGGGAAGAAGGTATTACACCAGGTCGTAAATTACTAACCGGGAAAATTATTACCTTTGGCCCCCCTCCCCCTCCCAAGGCCATGAATGAAGCGTACTATTTTGTTTTGAGTGATTTGGAGCCTTTGTTTTAATTTTTTGTTTATACCCTAAAACCATGATGTTGTGCACAATAATCAAATATTGAATAATTAATAATATTAATAATTAATAATTGTTTGGTTTGTTTATCCAAACATTCTGCCTGACGACAAAAGTACCTTAGTCTAGCATCAGTGCATTTTTGATAATACACTTAGCAATACAATGACAGAAGTTCGATACCTAAATATCTGACAGACTTATAAGGCCTCTAGATGTAATTTTGAAGGATTGTATGCTTTTAAGTCTTTTTTTGCTACCAAAAATAATTGACTCCATTTTGCTGAGGTTAATGGACAGCATTGGTGACTCTAGCGTCTGAAATCTTGTGGGGGTGGGGGGGCAAGGACAAGTGAGTGGTAAGGTATGATTGGGTGGGGGGGATTCCTTGTTGTCAATAAGCCAGCCTCTACATTTATCAAGAGCGTCACCAAGTTTGTCAGCAACGATAGTTGGGTCTCTCTGCGGAAAAAAAAAAAGAATGGCACTGTCATCGGCATATAAAAGCAATTTACAATTAGAGTCAATGCTAACCACCATATCGTTTATAAAGCACAAAAACAGTAAACGACATAATGCGCTACCTTGGGATACACCACAACTTAGCCAATGTCCCTGGGCTCAGATACCAATTACATCTTGGCTTCTGTTTGTTAAGTAAGAGCGAAACCAATTCAATGTGTTGATACCCATAAAGACATTTTTTTTACACAACATGTCGTGATCGACGGTATCAAATGCTTTACACAGATCTGTACGAACCATACCAGTATTGAGTTAATTAATTTAATGTTACCTGAAAGATAAATAAAGATGTACTGTCCCTTGAAAATGACCAAAATCATAAAAAATAATTTTTAAATTAACTTGCTCATTTTGCAGTAACATACAAATTATTAACTTGAGCATAGAAATCATTAAATTAAAAAAATGTGTTCCCTGATTTTTAAAATGGATAATTATAATAAAGATAATAAAACACTTCCAGTGACTGGAAATGTTTCTATCATTTTTTCGCTGTAAAATGATGGTTTTTATGGGTAAGCATTTTTTAAATACGTACACTAATTTCTATGTTCAAGTTGATAATTTTTATGTTACTTCAAAATGGGAAAGTAAATTTAAAAAATGATTTTTATGATTTTTATTTTTTTGTTTTTTGCAAGGGACAGTACATCTTTAAGGTACTATCAGTTGAATGATATTGCTGAACTGAAAGCCTGAATGAAATTGATATACAAGATAATTGTTCAAATTGGATGTGAACAGACTTTTCAAGATTTTGGAATTTTCAATTCGCACCCATTAACTCCCATATTATTATTGTAAAACTAAAGAATGTTCTCCCGTAATAGCAGTAGGGCCTACATTGTGGAATATGTGATAGCACAGTAGATAGTGTACAGTAGATAGTAGTACGCGTACGCACCATATGGAAGCGCATCAGCTGGGGCAGAAGCAGGATTTGGCAGTAGGGGGTGTGTGAGAGTTCACACTACACAATTATCTTCCTTAATACAATTTAGGGGGTGCAACTCTACCGTCTGCATCCGCCCCAGATGTAGACCTTGGCACAGTTCGCCATGGCAAATGCTTAGGGAGAGAGAATAACATTTTAGGCCTAAGTTACTGCAGCGCGGAATGACCATATTTTAATTCGCACCTATTCAGTTCATATATTCCGTTTTAATAGAAGTACCACAAAATTGCGTAATATCTGTTTAAAAAACCTCAGATTGTCTGAGCATATATGGGGATTCACTCCTGTGGCCCCGAGGACCAGTGGCAGCGCCACGTCAAGCCCCACCCCCCACCCCTAACGGACAGAGCTCATCGGGCAGTCAGGCTAAAATATATATAAAGATAGGCCCACGCCAAGCCAACACATGTCTGTCACAATCAGAGAGTGTCATTTCTGGCCCACCCAGAGGTTCCTATTTCTAAAAAAAACTCATTTGGGAGGGAAAACACCCTCTCAAACCCTTCCCCCAGCTCAGGCCTACGAGCCCAATACCCCCTGTTGGACAGCCCAGCGCTACCCACCCCCCTCCCCCAGAAAATTTATCTTAGAGCTGCCACTGCCGAGGACCAGGTGTGTGACAACAGGGTGAGCTCCTGTGGTTCTCTTTTTAGCTCTTTCATTCACTTTATAGAAAAGACAATGAATTGGTAACATAATTATGCATGTGGAGCGGGCAGTCAGGACCTAGGTGGCTATACACTTGTCATATTATTTACTATTTAATTTCCTATTTTAAAAATTAAAAATATATTAATGACAGAAGAAACACACGACAACAAAAGTTAACAGGCAAAGGAAGTTTATTTCCCTTCATACATTAATTTTTGGTGCTATTGTGTTGCAATTTGGTACTGTACTACACAATGTTGGATGAAGTACATAGAACTAAGAAAACACATATACAATAGAAAAAAAAATCCTACACAAAGCAATATCCTATACAATATTATTGGTGATTATTTGGTGTATAAATTTCTATATCTATACTATTACTAATTGTATTTTATGCAAATCACTAACCAGGACTGGTTAGTGATTTGCATAAAATACTATTACTAATTGTATTTTATGCAAATCACTAACCAGTCCTGGGGGGGGGGGGAATTGTGCTTCTGACCATGGAAATTACTGTATCTTGATAAAATGCCTCCAGCACTGAATACAGTATCCCAGAAATGAATAAATATATTTTTAAAATGTTATATTTCTTTTATTCTAAAGATTCCCCAGCTAAAATTATATCATACTGTAGCAGATTTATTGTTTTGAGGAAAGAGAATATGTAAATACTGTACTGTATTCATAAATGTCAATTAAAAAAAAATGAACACAAAATATACATTTAAAAAGGTACATGTTTCAACACACAGGGTCTGAATTAGTTTTGTCTAGTTATGTAATTAACAATTTTGACAGTAAAAAAGCTCCCGACGGAAGCATGTGCCTATGCCCATACTGCCTTACTATATTATATTTACTAATAAAGTATCCACATTTTTTTTTTTTTTTTTTTAGTATCCATTTGGTACAGTTTTAAGGTACTTAAGATGTAGCACCCATCATGCACCTCCACCAGATTTACACACACGACCTCTTCCGGATTTACCCTTCTAGAATTAATTGCCCTACTGCGACATAGTGTCTATGCCACCGAGAGGGCATAGACAAAAAAAGAGGAGAGGAATCATTATCTTGATTTGCCATTACTGTATATCATTAACAATCAACTATGTTATAAAGATAAATACAAATGAGTAAAAATTTCATCTAAGAAAGTGAGGTTGGTACAGCGGTTAAGTTTTAGGCTCTCAACTGTAGGGTCAGACATTTCACGTTATATTTAACTTGTGTTCTTAGGGAAAGTACTTCACCTACCTACTGTAGGGTTAGGTATTTAGCTGGTAGAATGCCTATTCGTAACCACATCACTTTCATGATTAGTTAGGCAAATTTGAATCACACCCGGTAATATAAACACTTTGTATAAATACCACAGCCAGCACTTCATATCACTTAGCAGTATAAATTAACCATTCATACATTATTTAAACATGCAAAATGATAGTATTTCTTAATTAGAAATATAATGAATTAAAATATTATCTTACAATACACATTAGAAAAAAAGTCGTAAGCTTTCAGGTATGAAAACAAAATCTCTGTTTAGACTTTGGTGCTTAAAACCCTTATAAAACATATGAAAAACATTGACCAAGTTTTATTACCGTACAATAGTTTTCTTGTTATAATAATTTTGAGAGACCTGTACCTTTCTGGGACCCTATTATTATTATTATTATCGCATAGTTACTTCCATCATTGTTTCAATAGTATGTTACATAAAGCAGCCTATAACAATTTTAGAAGTAGCTATGATGTAAAAAAAATATGAAAATATTGAATATTTACTCAGGTATCAATATAACATTAATACATTTTTATAGGAAGTTTTTTTTGCATTTGTTCTGTAATGTAAATCCTTTTCACAAGATGCATGCTCTATGATTATTATTAGTAACACATTATTTTTGTAAATTTTTTCTAGCTCGATTTTACAAATGTCTTTTTTTAAAGAACTGTTTACATGATGATAAATAGATTGAGCACAAACACAAAAAAATCATATTTTATAAATACAAATAGAAAAACATGAAAAGAATATATTGTTGCAGTTCTGGCTAATAATAGAAACCTTTCGATTGCATTACAATGGTACGACCTAATAATAGAAACCTTTCGATTGCATGACAATGGTACGACCTAGAACGTAATAATGTCACTACGAAGTCGCTCTGCGCATGCAAAAACGTTGAGTTCTCCTTTTTGTCTGGATCCTAGGATGAAATTTGGCCAGAATCTATGTTGTGCAGAAAACATAGGACGGTCACAGATGAGTGAACCTGTGATAGAGTTACGCAATCATGCAAATCGAAAGCTACCTGATACACTGCACCAGCCTCTGGTTGTGCCTGTGTATTTAGGCATCACTGATCCAAATTCAAGTATTCTGTACCTAACCAGTTCGGAAGGCGCCCTCATTCATTTTGATGATCCTGATATAAAGTGATATGTGAGCCAATACATAAAGATTGGTTGTAATGTTGTGATGAACAGTAGGATATATATCCTTCTTTTACTTCCATGTCCAAAGTTCTCATTGTCTGTTTCACCAAGAATGAACATTTTTAAGTTCCTCATCTAGTGGGGAAAATATGTATTTTTATATTAATTTATCAACAATTTATTAATACAGATATACCTTCAATTAAATATCACTTTGAGACCAGGGTTTCATGGTCTTTGGCAGCTTTAATCTAATTTAAATAATAAAGATAAACAAAATTTGGGACCACAGAAAAGTGTCTATAATTAGAGGTGGTCCTAAATTGGAGGGAGACCTGTATATTTCTTTAATGTTTATATACAAGGTCAGTAAAAGTAAATTTTTAAAACAAACATAGATTTAACAGATATTATTAATTAATGATTGTAAAAAAAAAAATGGGTTGACTTACTAAGAAGTAAACTAAAGATGCACTGCAGTATATAAGTGTTATGTAGTAGCCTCCAGATGCGAAAAAAAGGCCCCCGAGAATTGCTAGAATCATCCTTAGTTAACAAAAGAAATATTTATAAAACATTAGGAGACTTTAGAAAACATGAATCATCAGAATCATAACAAAATTATGAAATGATTGTAACAGTGGAATCCTGATGAAGTAGATTATGAACCTATCCGGCGTGTCAATCAAGCATAACTGACCAATCAGAACACAAATGCACATGTACACATACATTTATGTTATCTTTTTGTGGGACTTTATCAACAATATTAAAGGGGTGGTTCTTAGCAGAAAGGTCGATTGAAATCTCACAAAATTTCATTAAGCCACATTCCTTCCATCATCTGTAAAAGTATATAACATAATATAACACAGTAGCGGCCCAGTGATTCCTCATTACTGGCAAGATCACTGAGAGGGTATCTAAGAATCCAAAAGAAGAGATCCAAAGTCCCTGAAAGGGTGCCACACCATCTTCAGTTCCACCATGGTTAGAGAAAGTTTTAGAATAGGCACACCTCAAAAATTTGATTGGCTTCTTTCCCAATGAGGGCCAGGTCCCCTACGGACGGTTCTGTTGCCCCAAGACACACTGCTAACACTAACACTGCCACTGGTATAATATTTCATCCTACCCGAAAACATGACATGCATATTAGCACCTATAATTGCATTTACAACAAATCAAGTTTCTGCAAAATGACCTTGGTTTAAAATAATTTCTTAATAAATAATTCTGAAATATAACTTAGACTGAAAACTTACCCAACATACTTGTACCCACAAAAAGCAAGCAGATCTAAAGACTTTAAAGCAGAATTAATGTTCATGACATACAGAGTGAAGATGACTGCAACTATTTCAATGACCAGCCAAACTAATGCTGAACTCGCCTGCATTCCCAATAATTCCGGCGTAAACCTGGCAACAACAAAATAAATATCAAAATGTATCTGTATTTCAGGGTTCAAAATTTCAAATCTAATCAATTAAGCGATAAGTTAATTTTATGTAAAATGTTTGTTACACTGGCTCTTATGTTCATTTTGCCTTTATCTAAAGAGTTCAAAATTACAAATCTAATCAATTATGCGATAAGTTAATTTTGTATGTAAAAATTTTAAACTCCAATTACACTAGACACGATAACAACACGACAATAACATATCATTGCTTAGCTTCAACACTGCATGTATTTGAATCGTGCCGTTGTCGTGTCTTTATTGTGTCTAGTGTAAATGTAGCTTTACACTGGCTCCTATGTTCATTTTGCTTTTATAGGGCAATATAACTACTATCTAATTCAATCATTATACAAAAATATAGTAAGTAAAAGCTTGTTAATAATGTTTAAAATACTTAACTAGGCACGTCGACCTATGAGATTCTATGGAGAACGCCATAATGTACATGCAACAGATTATTTTTATGACGACTATCCATTTACACTGCTACCGACAATCAGTAGGTGGTGATGCAGTGAGAACTGCATCAAATCTGGAATATTTTTGCTGAGAGAGGGTATGGGTGGCAATCAAGGATCAAAACCTAATCAAGGATCAAAACCAAATGGTTTAGAATGTCCCTTTACAGGGCTCGATTTAGTACTAGCCCGGCGTACAATGTCTAGTAAAAACCGCTCCGGGCTAGCCTATTTACTCCTCATGTTGCCCGGTTGTCTAGTGGAGAATTAGCAAGAAAAACATTTTCTTAAAAAAATTTAAAAAAACGGAACTTTCGAGACAATCCCTACATAAGAGGTACCGCAGCCCAGAGAGTACACTGTAGGTATCTTTCAGCTCTTCAGATGCGTGAGTGTTGAATTATTAAGATGATCCCCAAGTCACTCACCAACCACTACAGGATGGCATGTTATCTCTCAACAGAAGATCGTTTGATCGTTCAATCAAGGTAATTCAACAAAAGGACGCACATCTCGGGACATCAAAGGTTATAACTCTGGCATCGACATTCTAGGCGCATGTGCGTCCCTACACGCTGAACGTCACAAAAACCATAGCAACCAGACCATAAACCGTCAGCGTACGTGATAGTTGCCATGTTAGTCGCGCGTCGTGCGGTGATTACAAAGGCCTAATGATATTTTGCACTAACATTAGACTGAAATATATTCTTCATTTCAACATTAATTTTACCAAAATTGTGGTGAATTGTCGTTCATGAGACTCACTTCGCAGAAAAAATTAATAAATGTTCCGCATATACTCAAATGTTCGTCCTCATTGTCAAAATGACAGATTAATGTTACATAAGAACATGAAATTTTATAAAATTCGTAAATTTTGAATTGCTATAACTTTTCATTTTCTTGGATGCCACAGTAAAGATCAAAGGACTGTACGCACACGCTATGTTCGAGAGCGGAGATGTGCGTCCTTTTGTTGAATTACCTTGGTTCAATCTGGTTAATTTGGGTAGTCATTTAATTTAACGTACTACCTTATATTAATATCATTTTCTTAAAATGATATTCATAAAATGTTCAACTTTTAATAATTAAGTACTTCAATGCTATAGGAAGGTAGGCTAGCCTAGCCTAGTCTAGGCCATATGTCTTGTATAGGCCTAGGCCAAGGTAGCCTAGCCTAAGCAAGATTTATTGCCATTGGGGGTGAGTAAACTTCAGACGATGATTCAAAGATGATGCATTGGTTTGATTGATTTCTGGGCCCTTTGTTAAATATTATGCCGACGTTATAACCAGGGAGATGTAAAACATGCTCATCTGTCCCTGTTAGTCCTATAAGTTGATTTTGCAGCATGGGTGATTTTTTTATTTTAGTATTCAACAATAATTTGAGAGGGTAGCGCAAACAGCAATGCTACAGAAATTATGAAATTACAAATCAACCTTCAAATTTAATTGTCGCTAATAAATATTTTGAAACAAAATTTTTTCCTGTCTGTGGGCTAGTAAAATATTCTGTGGGCTAGTAAAATCTCTAGTAAACTAGCCCAGTGGGCTAGTTACCAAAAAAAGTTAGGGCAAGCCCTGCTTTACCTCCTTTGGGAGAGTCCGGGACTATTTCTCCAGGAAACTTTGAAGTTTTTACCATTTTTAATCTCTTAGTTAATGGTATTAACCACCCCACTCTTTGGCCACCCCTGGATCCACCAATGCAGTTTCTAGTGACTTACCTATCTTGCCTACCAAGCGCAACACCAGCAAGAAGTAAATATGTAACAAATGCCATTGTTGGTATGTAGAGATCTGGAGCATTTATCTCATAACGTGGTGCAACTGGTTCATCTGTGCGGTAATTTACGGTCCAATTCTTTAACAAAAATAATTTAATCAAACACTAGATTTTGAAGAATCTTTACTTGATATTTACAGTATATTACAAACATTCCTAAATATTTAAGTAATTAAATTTAAGATGTTTACCGTAATAAAGCTAAATTACATTGATGTTTACATTGTTAGCGTATGTATGCATAAATCTTTGGTTGAGTGCTTGCTAAAAAATGCATTTTGCAATCACTCAGTACCAGATCTTAATATTACTGGTTAAACGCGAGACTGGTGAAATGTCAAAGAAATTTAGCATGAAAAAAAGTAGCAGGATTTCAGGGCTTGTTATTTGAAAATGGCAGGTGAACTACAAAATACACACCTAATTCTATTTAGACGAGCAATTTAATTTGGGGGGGGGGGGGTGGAAATTTAAGATTCTCTGGAATAGTTTTATACACCTAAATATTACAGCAGATTTCAAAGCATCACAAAATACATCCTAGCTGAAACATTGTCATAGTATAATGGGGTTTTTACTAGATTTAAGGTGAGTGATTTTCAGACCCAAGGTGCTCTACTTTTCATACCCCTGAAGAGGAGTCAAGGGGCACAGCCAAGGTAAAATATGAGGGTAGTCAAGTCTTGCGAGCAACTTGGCGCGGGGGTGGGGGGAGGCAGTGCGCCTAAAAGGGGACAAAGGCCTCAGAAAATTTGGGTTATATTACGTGATAAAATATAGAACTGAAATGTTTCACCACAGTAATTTCTATAAACCTCCAACAAAAAAAATATTATAATCTTAGTTTGACTCATCTACCGTTGCACCATCTCCACATCTAATTTTCATTTCGACTTGTTAGATCATTATATTTGTTGTCCAAAAATATTATAAACTTTTAAGGGGGTGGCTTAAGGAACGGGAGGTAAATCACAAGAAAAATCTGAAAGTCAAAAAGTGGTCGCGGTCATTTACTGCAGGTGGTGGCTTACAAGAGGTATCAAATGTACTGATTAGATATGGAGAGCAAACAGGGCCATATGAAAGTGCATGTTAATGCAGGTGATCACTTAGGGTCGGGAGGTGGTCACACAGGAAGGTTAAACTGTATTATACCAGAAAAGAGTTAATTTACTCTTCCCTGATCATACTGTAATAAATGACAATGTATCCATTTGCTATCTCAGTAACCAGCGAGTTAATACTACAATTACTTAAAAAAAAAGTGTTTTTGTATTTGACTATGATTATTACTGAATGCACAACATTCAAGATTTATAGATGACACAGCATGTGCACCGGTCTGAGACAAGGGTCGCTCAGTTACTCTGTAAATAATAAAAGGAGAGTGGCTTACATTTCATATTATATTTTTTCACCTTACCGACCACTTACTACTATAATCGGGATTTTGAAAAAATATTGATTAATTTTAGGTGGGTCACGACCCCCTTGACTCTCCCTCTGGATGCGCCCCTAGAGTTTAGGTGAGTGATTGTGTGGAAGTGCAATCGCTCGACTTAAATCTCAAACCCTGGGTTTCATGGTTCAAAACTGTAAAAAATATTATAACACTTACTGTGTGAGTGTAGGGAAACAACAACAGCCCCAATTTCCTGCCAACATAACTTGTATCAACTGCAAAGTAATACTTCAACTTACTCACAGACATAATCCTGTCAATCTAAAGGAAGAATCATGCCACAAATTAAGAGTATGTTGCTATACTGCCCTTTATTTTAATCCAGATATAGACATACGTACAGAAAGAGGATAGAAGTTCAAGACAGCAGAAAGGAAGACAATAAAAATGAACTGAAAGGGATAACTCCTAACCAGGGAGAGATCAAAGGTAAGAGACTGATTGATTAGAACACCAAGGGACAGTAGAGATTGAAGGATGAAAATAACAACATTTATAGTATTTTATAAGTCATCTACATTGGTTGAGAGAAACAGTCTGAAGAAATTTAGGTAGAAGTCAAGATCCAATAGGAGAAACTGGCTTAAGTGGTGAAAGAAGTCACCCTTTAATGCTGTAGAGAAACTGGCGCGAGAGATTGAGGAAGTGGTTAGCATTCAATAGGAGAAACAGGCTTAAGTGGTGAAAGACGTCACCCTACTATGCCGGAGAGAAACTCGCTGGAGAGATTGAGGAAGAGGTTACCATTCAATAGGAGAAACAGGCTTAAGTGGTGAAAGACATCACCCTTCAATGGGGGAAACAGGCTAGAGAGATTGAGAAAGCAGTTACCATCCAATAGGAGAAACAGGCTTACAGTAAGTGGTGAAAGACATCACCCTTCAATGCCGGAGAGAAACTGCTGGAGAGATTGAGGAAACAGTTACCATTCAATAGGAGAAACAGGCTTAAGTGGTGAAAGACATCACCCTTCAATGCCGGAGAGAAACTCGCTAGAGAGATTAAGGAAGCGGTTACCATTCAATAGGAGAAACAGTCTTGAGTGAATGTAAAAGGAGTCATCTTCCAACAGTGGAGAGAAGCAGGCTCTGGAGATTATGAAAAAAGTCTTTCCTCAAACAGTGTAGAGAAACAAGCTGGAGAGATCTGGAAAGAGATAAATGTGAAAGGGGACAGGAACAGGCTGTTAGTATTGCAAAGAAGGTAACATTCCCTACTATTCTTACATATACAAAGTATTCCTGTACATTTTGTAAATAAATTAGATGTAAAATAAGTAATGTGTGGGTATTAACCTTCTGTTCTAAAACATCCTTTCCTTGTCCAGCCAATGAAGCTCCATACTGCACAGCCATATTTGCCATTGGATCATTAATGTACTGCTGACCTGGGAATCCTGGCTGTTGTTGGGGTCCACCATACCCAGGCTGACCACCCACATACTGCTGCTGGGGATTTGGCATTGTGCTAGTGTCTTCAAACAGAGGAGTTGGACCTTCATTCATCCTTGACCTTTGGCTCTTTCGTTGATGACCCTGACCTTGGTGAGCTAAATGAAAAATTAAGATTTGTAATTAGATTTCACCTTTCAATGAAACATGGTTTCATTTACTAGATTTTTCAGCATATTCAAAATTTGTTATGAAATTTTCAGTTAGTTCGTTCTTCTTGTATTATTCCACATGCAATAAAATACTTTAAAATGTAGAAATACAGTGCAAGTAGGAACTACTAGAAAAACATGCACTGTACATATAAATAAACATTTCTTTGAGAAAAAAAAACTGAAATTACTTTTGGTAGATTAACACCACTTTTATCTCAGCTGAGTGACTACAGTAAACCAAAAAAAAAATTGTTCCAATACACGATGAATACATTCTTGAGAAGCATACCATAAATCTAGTACTGTAAAATGATATAATATTCTTAGAAATAAGCCAAATGAGCCTAAATAAGAATGACTTTGACTGCCTGCAAGCTATGTGGAGTACTAAACCAGCAGTTCTCAAACTATGGTTTGCGACCCAAAATTGGGTCGCCAAACAAATAAAAGTTCGCAAGATTTTTCTTTTTTAATTTGAATTATAAATTGAAATTGTGGTACTGTACTAGTAGTAAAGACAGCACATTCTAAGTGTCATTTATGCATTTTACTGTGGCTACCAATTATTCACATAATTTTTTAAGTATTTGTTTTATAACATCATGGAAAGTGGGTCATGGCAAATTGCTTGGACATTTGTTTGGTTCATCAGCCAAAAAGTTTGAGAACTACTGTACACTGAAGTATAGCAATGGTGGCATTTTCACAATAACTTATTTTTTACAAGCAAGACTTTTCTTGTGCTAGCTGGGGATAGAGAAAGGATGGTGGTGCTCATGATATAATTATAATAAAAATTATAAAATGTAACTAAAATGTCCATTGGCGGATTGAAGGAGGGGAATGCATGGCCTCCCCACCCCTAAATTTTTTCAAAATAAAAAAAATAATAAAAGAAAATTTTAATTAAATTATAAGTATGAGAGTGCCTTTTCCAGCCATCTGCTGTAGGTGACATAATCATAAATGTTACTTCAGCTCTAACCATGGTGGTACTGAGGTGGTATAGACCCTCCACCAGTGAAAGTCCTGCCCTGGGCCCTGTCTATTTCAAATTCCTGGATCCGCCACAGATAGATCATCATAATACATTACACAACACCTATTTTGTAATTTGATATTGAGCTCAGAAGGGATGAAATTTAGTTGCTTTAAATAAAAGCAAAAAGACAAAAAACAAAACAAAAAATTACACAGCTACCAGGCTGATTTTACTTATTATTTTACCTTTAAACAATATATTTGTTTTTTCCATTTCACATACCTACCAGTAGGCCTACTATGCAAATTTAGTTCCAGATGAAGTGTGCTGATGAGAGGTAAGAAAATTTAGGTCTGCTGCACAAGAAAAAGTTTTAAAATTTGATGCAAATTCTAATGTGGGTAGCTAAATGGCCAATGTCAGATATTTTTTACACAGTTACTGTGATGTTGCATAAAACAAATAAAGAATGTTTCTCATTTGTACAATTGCCTTATGTATAATATTTCTAATCATGATAAATATTACAAAAATTGAAATTGTATCATGTTCAGATTCTGGTACATTTTATTATGCCCAAGACTCAACCTTTCAAGAACTTCATGCTTGGGACTTTCCATGGTAGAGAAAATTGTACAAAATAAAATAACGCCTGAGACTGAGAGAAGATATTCCTTGCTGTACAACTACGGGGTATCATCACTTTCCGAACCACAAAACCGCAGGTGCTATCAAGCCAAGTATAGGCCTACCCTACTAATAACATGTTTTTTAAAAGCGTTGGCATTAAAAAGTACTTTTTTATTAATTATTATTATTCTTTCTTTAGGCACACAACACATGTGCCAAGGATTGCCAATAGCGAATATATATCACTGTCCTACTTGTAGGTGACAATCCCTTACACAAGACAAACATACACATACGATGCTTTACACAAACTAAATCTCAATATGAGATTTAGGGAGTGGAGTTGTTTATGTCGTGAGAAAAAATCCTGCAACTGGCAGGAATTGAACCCAGAACCCTGGGATTTGAAGGCAAGCATCTTAACCACCAAGCTATTCAACTCCACTCAACAACAACAGAAATATCTTCTTTTGAGAATTATTATTTTGTAAACTCTTGTCCATGCATGGAAAGTCTTGGGCATCGTGTAGAAAGAAAATAGTCTTCTCAGGTGGTTTTGGGTGTTCACTCTATAGTTAGGGCAGTAACAGACATGCACCACATACTCAGCTAAGCTTGTGATAAAATGTATTACTTCCCAACATAACCCCCCACCCCATCATCAGCAATTGTCATACAGTCCCTATATTTCTGCCAACAAAATTTTACTGCTGGTTCTTTAAAAATAAAATAAAAAAGTGTAGGCCTAGGCCTACCTGGGGCCTAGGTTCCGGCCTTAAGTTGATTCAGCCTGGGTCGATTTGGCCCTTTTTGGGCCGAAACGACCCAGGTCAGAAGTGATCGCGCCCTATTGTTTGTAAGTATTTCGATTGCAATTAACAGCTGTAGTATGGAGCGCCAAGTACGCACTGTGGTTTATTTGGGTTCTGTATTTTTAATTAAGAACTTTTTTTGTGTGTGTTTTAGTATGATTTATTTTGTCTTTTGATCCTTGACTATACACAATAAGTTTTGCAATTGTTATTGTTTCAGAAATTTTAATTAGTTTGAGTATAATTTTACAGTATGTGGTTATTCAAAAACAATGTTCTTTTTTCTTGCAGTTCCCAGTAGTGAAAAGTCAAGTGTACAAGACAGTACTATTATATTATCAATTTCTAAATGATCCTTAATAAAGGCTTTTGTGTTTTGTTGCGGTATTTTAATTGTTAAATCAAAAATATCTGAATTTCATATGTTTGTTTTCACGGCTGGTATTTTCATTTATCAACAAAAAAAATGAGACATTCTCAAAAAAAAAAAATGTTTTTAACTAGTCCTATCTACGTTGTACCGTCAGCATTACTTCAACATGCAAACCTTCAAACAACATTTCATCATTATCATCGTTTTAAAATTTAATACAACAGTACATCATTCTAATCCAAAGCGCCAGGGGCGTCCACAGCCCCGTCACCCTTTTAGGAAGTTAAAAATGGGGAAAAAATTGATCCCAAAACGCCTCAGCGGTTACATTCAAACGTCTGTCTAGAAAACAAATATTTCGCGGACCTCCCCTTAGGGCGGTGTTATTTCAATTGGCCCCATTTTCGGTTCCCCTGTCAGACATCTCTGGATCCGCTCTTGCTGGCAGGGGCCCTGTCCGTATACGGTAAATGAAATATTACAGCTTAAACAAAGTTGAATAATTTTTTTTTTATAAATCGGAACCATAGACGAGAGGTGAACACACGCGTACACATTCACTGCCATGGCATGTGTTTGCACCTAAAAATAGCCAGTCTAATTTTATCATCTGACCTACTTCACTCTTGGCAGTTGTGTGCCCACACATTCCTGAAGGCGGTGTACAAAGAAATTTCCGGCTTACTTACAATAATATCAAAAGAAGCCTAAAACAGCTATTAACATTGTAGGTCTATAAATTTTAATTAAATATATTTTATTACTGTTTCCATTTATTTGTGTATTTTATAAACATGCCTAATCAAAATATGTATCGACAATGGAAATAAAACAAACAAGAAGATACAAACCATGTGTCTGCTTCACCTCAACATAATTGTTGAAAACGTTTCTTTCCTCAAATTATACTACATAGTTAATAATTTCTTTAGTTAATTTTTAAGCAATGAGTAATTTTTTTCGGCCTTATGAATACAATAATATATTTGCTTTATTTCCATATCACATTAATTAGTATAGGCCTATTTTAATTTATTTTATATAGTTATAAATAGAACATTTGGTAATGTAAATGGAGACACAACAAACAAAAACAAACTTATGACAAAATAATTTTATTGAAGCATTTATAAACATGATTCAAATATATATATCGTATGGATACAGTTGAATTATTAATGGTTTGTGTCTTTCACTTCATGAAAATATTTTACTTTTTTATCTCAGACATTGCACTGATAAACATTCATTATTTGTATATCATACCGTTTGTACCTTACTAATAACAACTCCCTGCTAAGGTAAAACGGTTGGCGAGGATGCTGGACAGAAACTAAGGTAAGGCAGGCCAGGTGAGACATGCTCCTTTGCTGACACTGACTAGCACCGCACAAATACGTCACCCGTGTACACATCAATCACGCCAAACCAACCATGCGACACTGAAAACCAAATTAAATTGGACCGAAACATACACTTACGATTCCTGACATTGTACTGGGGCGGTACGTCCATATTTAATCTATAATATACCCTTTTAATACGGCATTAATCTAACCATCCACTTTTTCAACGATTTACTCAACAACTTCGACCACAGATTCAAGTTCCACAGCTGCGCAAGGTCTATTTTGCCACGAAATTATACCACCTATCTTACTATTATTAATAGTATGCATACTTTTAAAATTAACGTAATTCTAAAAGCTTATACGAAAATTGTTTCCTAATTTTCATCGTAATATAAAATAATTTGAAACTTTATAAATAACCAAGTAGACCTAGGCTCTATATTTGAAATGGCGAAATTAATTTTTATTTTGACTTAGCTAGGCCTAGTTATGTATGAATTGACCTCAGAGCAGCCGAGGTCAGACATGTGTTTTTGATCATCATATATCCTAGGCTGACGCCTGACGGCCGACTATGTACAACCAAAGAGTTATATTATACTCAGTCTTTGGCGGAACACACAGAAATGCAGATTGAAACAGAAAAACAATGTGAACTGAGGTCTTTTTGTTCAGAACTGAGTGGTTTAACGCGACCAGATGGCTCAGCAACTTTTAATCAAGGTTTAATCATCTATTCTTATGAATTTCTACTTTTTTTTAGATTCTTCTCTACTAGGCCTAGCTAGTAGGCCTAGTAGAGGCCCCCTGGGGGGTCCTACTAAATACCACACGGGACCACTCGCGACCACACGGAACCACTCGCGACCACTCGGGACCACACGGGTGCAAAAATGATAAAAATATTACCACACGAGTGTAGAAAACTACTTAATAATCAATAGAAACCAACTTTTAGTACGGTAATTATCCGAATTCCGTTAAAAATCGATGTAT